ACACGAGCGGCGCCGACGCCGAGGAGAAGGTGTCCTCGTCGGCCGCGCGCCCCGGCGGCGCGCCGCCCTTGCCCTTCGCCTTCTGCTTCGCCGACAGCCGTCTTTTCAAGGTGCCCATCAGGCTCTCGCTCTTTGATCTCGTTTTCCCCCCCTTCTCGTCGTCGCCGTTGATGTCGCAGGCGGCCATGTCCTTCCCGTAGCAACGAGCGGCGCCGACGCCGAGGAGAAGGTGTCCTCGTCGGCCGCGCGCCCCGGCGGCGCGCCGCCCTTGCCCTTCGCCTTCTGCTTCGCCGACAGCCGTCTTTTCAAGGTGCCCATCAGGCTCTCGCTCTTTGATCTCGTTTTCCCCCCCTTCTCGTCGTCGCCGTTGATGTCGCAGGCGGCCATGTCCTTCCCGTAGCAGCTACCAAACAAGGAACCGTCTTTGTCGAAACCGCCGGCTAGCGAGGGTGGCTGCACTACCATGAACTCCGCTTCTTCTTTGCTTTTATTCAAGTTGAAAGATTTCCGGAAGGTTTTCAGACTAATTTTCTTCATTATGACTGATTACCTAGTCCGAGGGGATCAATTTCTCTCTGAAACAGGGTCGTCAAACATCTGGAGAGGCTGCGTGTAATGCTGCATCTATGTGTTCCCAGCTTCATTGACCCTTTGGAGCCATTTTCTAAAAAAAAATAAAATACGTTCTTTTTTAAAAAGAGCACATTACAGAGCTTCCACAAGTTTTATTTTACTCGACATTAATCCCTTAGCGTCTGGACAAGGGACTCCGAGTCCATCCCTAAGAAGGTCCGTTGAGACAAGGAATTTTTCCAGTTCATCCGGATCGCTGCCTACTGTGTAATCAGCAGGTGACAACTATCTGACAATCCTAAAGAACAAGCCCTAACCTTCCTCTCTTCTGTTTGCACCTGGCTTGAGGTTTGCTCTTTAATTAAGGGTCGGAGTCTGTGCCTCCCCTGACGCTCACCTCCAGCTCTAACTCACGGCCCTGACGCTCACCTCCAGCTCTAACTCACGGCCCTGACGCTCACCTCCAGCTCTAACTCACGGCCCTGATGCTCACCTCCAGCTCTCACTGGCGCAGGGCCCGGCCAGCAGTGTGAGTCACCCAACGGCAGAAACTCAAAGGTGACACCGCGCTGAACTGAGAGAACAAGTCTGGCCAATTCCTCAACCTGTACATGTTTTTAGAAATGTAAACATCTGTAAGAATGAATAAAAGCCATTCCATAATCTGTGATAAGTTACTGAAAAAGCCTAGCAATGTCCCTGTATCCTCACGAGTTCCCTGAGGACAGAGCCCGGGATCCTTCACACCTCCAGTACCGCCCACGGGAGAGATGCCCCACTGTGACTCGGGGCACAGGCCACGGTCCCCTGAGGACTCCCTCAACAACCAGGTGTGTCTGGTGGAGACCTACCTGGAAGATTATGAAGCCTACTTCCAGAATTATTACACCTTCCTCTTCCTTTTTTTTTTTCTTTCTTTCTGCAATTTCTCATGGCAAATTTTTACTTCTGTATCCAGAAGTATAACTTCTGAACTACTTTTGTACACTGTTCCATCACTGAAAAGATAAGATTTCAATTCTGGAAAAGACTTTCTGAAAGTCATTTCAGAGGAAAAATTTTGGCCTCATGGTCATATTAATTGATCATAGGAATAACTGCTTTGCAAAAACATTCTGAACTATGCATATTATATTTCCTCTGCGGCCATGTTCTGCAGTTTGTGTACCCACCGAAGTATAAAGTCATAACAAGATGATGTGCTTCAACCAGAACAAACGCTAATAAAACTAAGAGCAAGATCCCATCCCCCGGCATCAGTTCAGCAACACTGTTTCTTTGGCAAAAGAGGACAGCTCCAGCCCTGACGGCGTTTGTCGATCCACTACGCATTTACTAAGCCCCTATTACATACCCAGCACTGTGTGGTGACATGCAGATTAATAAAGCGTTTATGGCCTCATAATCCAGTAGGAGAGATCTATGAATGGATGTAATACAAACTCATTAGTAACATAGCCATAACACACAGCAGGGGATGAAAGGAGGTATTTTACAAATGTTTACTTTAGTTATAGATAGGATTTGCTTAATGTGTAGACAGAATCTACATGAAACCATTTATAGCCATGGTTCCCAACCTTCGCAGCACCAGGGACCAGAGCTCCTATGAGAAGCTAATGCACGAGGATCTGAGGCGCAGCGGAGGCGGTGATGCTGGCGCTGGGAGCAGATGCGAATACAGGCGAAGCTTCGCTCCCTCGCCCGCCGCTCACTTCCTGCTGTGCAGCTGGTTCCTGACAGGCCACGGCCCAGTACCGGTCCGCAGTCCAAGAATTGGGGACCCTTAATTTAAAGTAGAAACCACTCATACTGAACAACCTATCAGGGGATCAGCAATATCACCTCTATAAAGAAGCAATTTTTAAGTTTTACTGTCATGTACTATGTTTTTCGAGCAAGTTGTAAAAAATAAATATTTGGAGAGCCAGTTACTTTTAAACATTACTGTATATTAGACGAACTCATATCCAAGATAAGTACTATTATCTTCTACCCAAGCACATGATCTAATATTTAAGTTATTAACTAGATTATTCAACAAAAATACAGCCATCCAGAAACACGAAAGGGATAATATGACAATATCCAACAGCTGGCAAATCACTTCTTTTAAGCAGACAGTATAGGTTTTGTGCTCAGAGTAAGAGAGATCCCAATACCTGATCTCTTTTGACAAGAATAAGAAGCCAAGCACTGTGGTTGTGACAGGTACATCTGTAAATGTAAAACGGTAGTGTAATGGAATTTAGATATTTCGTTGATATAATTAGGATGAATTATTGCCATTAAAAAGCAGTTTATATAAAATGTAAGCAAAGTAAAATAATCTGTTCACTTGGAAATAACAATATATGTAAAATTATGTTGAAATTTTAAAAAGTCAACAAGAAAAACTCAATAGAAATAAACAGTAGGAGACAAGGAAATAGTAAGTAAAAATGAACAAGCAGCTTTCCGGTAAAAATCTGCGTTTCGCATCTGCCGGTGCGAGCCCGACCCACGGCCCGCGGTGAGCAAGCCCCAGATCCTGACCTAGACCCTGGCGGTCGCGACAGACTGCCCGACACACTCCACAGCTCCCACGTGGCTTGTCCTGAGGCTGTCGGCCAGGGACTCACCAAAACCCACTGCGCTGTACCGCTTGAGTGTGTCACAGTGACGTAGAACTGACTGCATCCTCCTTATGCCTCATCTCCCCGACCAGACTGTCGTACTTAAAATATCTCACTCATTTTTATATTCCTAACCAGGAACTACCATTAGATAATACATAGTGCTTCAATTCTTTGAAACCAAATATTCCTTGACTATGAAATAAATGTATGGATAGGAAAAGCCACACTGAACAAAACTAAATCTCCTAATGAAAATGAAGCAATCTATCTCCTATAAAAATCAAAAGTCATTACAAATGATCAAGGATTGACATTCCATCTAAAACGGCCACATGAAAAACACATGCTTATCAGGTAACAAGCTCGACCACACACAGCAGTGACCACCCTGCTTGCACACGGTGTGTTGAGGCAGGCAGACTACCAATGAAATCCTACCAAATAAGTACTAGTAAAGAGAAGGAAGTAAATATATTACATAATTTCCCACAAAAAAATATGGAGTACCATGTAGTTGTATAAGTACGTCTAAAAATAAAAACGCTCTCTGATCCTCAAAGCTGAAGATGGATGAAAGGCAGAGTAGCCGCGGCCCCACCTCTAACTGGAGTGCGCTGTCCTCGGGAACCCAAAGAAACGGGGGCTACGCTAAGGACCCGGCCGTTGCAGCAAATGCTAGACTGTCCTTTCTGCTCGCAGGCCATTTCTCATAGAGCCCTCTCTCCACCCCTTTCCCGCTACGTTTGTAAAATAGTTTACCAGATCCAAGAGGAGTTAAGATGTTTGATGGAAAACTAAGATAAGAAATTGCAAGCTCCAAGACAGGCCAAAGAAATGACAGGAAAATGCTGGGCAGAGCCGGTCTGGGACAGAATTCTCGAGCGGCAGACTCTGAACGCTCCCCGACCGCAGCTAGCCTGTGAATCGGGCTGCATTATAGGCAAAGGCACAGGGGAGGGATGCTGATCGGTAACTTTGCTTCCCAGGTGCGCCCTGGCCCGCTGAGTGGTACACAGGGTGTGGGTAACAGCCACGAGCAGGCCAGCCTTGGCCTCTGTGAAGCCCCTGAACCCACAGATGGAACATTTTGTCCACGTCTCTTCTCTATCCATCACCACCATCAGGCCCTCAAAGGAGTCTTCGCCCACGAAAAGGTCTGTCTTCAGAGAAACTTGGTAAGTGGGAAGAACACACCATGGTGGGAACGGGGCCAACAGCCGTCGCCGTCACTGCCTGCCACCTCCTTGGAGCGGTCCTCCGGGAAGTGCAGGCACAGAACAAGTCAGCCACAGAGGACCTGATCATTGGCAATCGTGACAGACATCACGGAGAAGGAAGTGATCAGAAAACACTGGGGTTCCTACTCTAGATTCCATGAGCACCCCCCACGGCCTCTCCCACAGCTGGACTGGCAAGGAGGAGGCAGCCGTGCGAAGGGAAGGTGGCGAGGGAAGCTTCCCGGATGGCAGGCAGGGCATGTGCAGAGCCCCGAGGTGGGAGCCTGCAGACGCCAAAGCCGAGAAGCCTGACGTGCCAAGGCCGGGGCAGGAAGGAGCGGGGCGCACGACGGCCAAGCTGCGGCCTCTGGGTCTGGTTCCCAGTGCAGGGAAGAATGCAAATGTTTAAGTATCAATATGGTCTCGTTTCCATACACACTTCCTAAGTCTGAGCCCACTCATCGTCCTCTTCAGTACACACATAAACCTACTGGAACGCAGAAACCCCGCAGGGGTCTCAAACTGCCTCATAAAAAAAGGACGAACGGTTTCTTAATAAACTGTAAGATGTCAAAACGATGTGTTGGAAACACTTGTAGCTCTAGAGTCTACCCACGTTACCCTAACTAGCCACGTGCCTCTTAAATTTTTCTAACAATGGTAGGGTTGACGGAGTTGAAGTTCAACACAGATGCAGTGGAGAGACTCAAACATGAGTTAACTGCGCATGAAAATTTTATTCATATCTTAGTTCCATTTACAAGTAATTCTCCATAATGCCTCAGTTTTTGGATAAAATTTTAGTGACACTAAAGTAACATTCGACATCAGTTAGAATTATTAATTGGTTGAAATGTGACACCTGGCAGGAGACAGCTGCAGCTGCGGACACTTCCTGGGGCCAGCAGTTACCGATATGCTAGCGATTACATCAGAAACGCGTGTGCATGTGTGTGTGGGGGGCGGGGGGTGCGCGGACGCAGATAACGCAGTAGGAATACGTACAAACCCATCTCAGGGCTGCATGCAAGACACATGTGGCTCACGCACACACGGCGAGCCCCGGATCCGGATCCATACTTAGGTGAGTTCTGAAAAGTCGGGACAGAAGATAAAGATCCGGAGCGCGACGTGGAAAGCAGCCTGGATGAGAAAATGCGGTGGCAGAGCCCGATCCCCCCACACACGCGTGGTCCTCCTCAAACCCAGCCGCCAAACTTCAAGAGTAGAACTCGAGACAGCTGTCCATCTCGCTC